CTAAACCTTATTGAATAAGTTTTGAAATGTTGCTATTATTCCATAGTAAAATTTAAGAGTTAAAATTTCACTTCGTCATCATTTCAAACAAGTTCATTTATGGGTGGTGTAGTGGTTTGTGTAACGGACTGTTATGCCAAAGGTCGCTGGTTCGACTTCCGTTCAAGTCAAACATTTGTGTGTATGAACATTTAATGTTTAATTTGGTCTGAATGTTTCTTTGTATAATATGTAAGTATTTAAGAAAAACATAAAAAAATGTATTTATATCAGTTGTACTCGTATAGTACCTATAGTATAAGCTTTGCTGAGTTTGAGACTAGATGGCGTTGTGTGCATGTTGTAGAATATTATTATTATTTAAGTCTTACCTTTTCACTTACTCGTCATTTAAAATGTTTAGTAAATAGGCAGTTTTCCAATACTTTAACAACTATGGGTAATAGGTTTGGGTTGAGAGTTTGTTATGTTGGATTTTTGAAAACTTACTCAATACTTTTATAATTTTGTCTTATATATAATAATACAGGAAGAATATATGATAATATTTCGATACCAGCTTTGAATAATATGAGTAGTTGGTAGGTAATTATAATTATATCATTATGTATGTACATTTGAATATTGAGAGATATTATTTTAAAAAAATATTGAAAATATTTTTACTCTTAATTACAGTACATTAGGACATCGTTTTTTTTTTTCTGGTGTTCAAATCTTTAACACTTGATTACATGCTATATATTCAAAAGTCCATAATATTTGTCATTAAAGAAAAACAACAACTGACTATGTCATTTTTGTAAACACTGTCAATTCAAGATAAAATAAAAACTGTTAAACCGTTTTTTGTTTTGTTTTCAACTATCATTAGCAAGTTATTTTACCCACAATTGTTTTTATGACCGGGCAGGTATTTGTTAAAACGATGTAAAATTCCACAAGACGTAGTCACCAACAGTGTTTTGCTTAGATAAGCGGATGAGCGAACGCAAGGTCGAACCAAATTGTTCGATCATCACATAATATTATTGTAGTCACGAATTCTTTATACATTAATACTCGTACCTAGGTAGGTTTATCAAAAACCCGTTCTAATGACTGTTCGTCAAAGTCGAAATTAAATTTCCTGGGTTAAAAAACTAAAGAATCAAGTTTTTTTAAATGCTTAACCGTTAAGTTGGGATTTGATAAACCTTCAATATTTAGGATAGTCGGTGATTATTTTGTACTTATAATAGTTTTAACCATTCAAAGACTGACAATATTATTGGAAAGAACACAAATATGTACTTGATGTAACACCTCTTTTTATTTTTTTCCGTGCGGAAATCCACTCGGTGATGTAACACCTCTAGTAAAGCTTCAATAAAGAACCAAATAAAAAATTTGGAAAAAAGGTTTTTACTGATCAGTGGACTGTCGTCTGATTTGTATTCAAAACATTTGTTATGTCATTCGTTAAGTCAAATCCTCGGCTTTTAAGATTTGGTTACATAGTTCATTACCTAAAGCTTGATGTATTCTAATAAGCTCTATATTCTTCTTTCCTTATTTACCAACCTTAAATTTCGAATCGATTAAAAAGGAATCAGATCAAAAATAGTAAAGATATTATCTAAGTAATAAAGAAGAGCCTGATTCTAATTTGCGTGTTACTTATTGTTTATTTGAATTTAACTACTTTTGCAGAATAATGCAGCTTGATATAATTTATTTTATTAATATTCATTCCTAGCCTAAAGATATCAAACAAACTTATTTTTAAATTATCTTGGATAAAGTAGGAGTTCGTGGCTAGGTGGTAACCAAGTAGGTTAACACATTGCAAAGTTTAGCAATCCTAGCCAGGTTAGTCTATGATGGGTGACCATTTCTTAATACATCCAGACCGAGTTAAGCCGTCGGCTCTCGTTGCCATACGAACATCTGTTACAATCTTTACTGGTAGTCGGACCCCAAAAAAGGCCTACAGCCTTTCTACAGAGCTTCGATATCGCCTAAAACTTGGGTTGTGAAGGACTGATGGTAGATAAAAAATTGAAATTCAGTCGTATTGTAGTAGACTTTCGTAGAAGGTTCGGAGGAAGATTGGATAATTTACGAATTTCACATTAACAGAAGTTCTTCTGAAATTATTGTACGTTTGACTAAGACCATTGTTGAGCGGACTTATGTCGTAATGTTTAACAATTATATTACAATAAATCGCATAAACTCGTCTATTCAAAGGTTGAAAGCTTACCATTAAACTATGAGAACGTAGTTGCATCACGAGTTTCATCACACATTGTTCTAAGACGTGTAGGTAGCTAAGACAGCCTTAATAATTACTTGTAGGTGGCTCTCCTTAACATGCGAGCATAAGGCCAGCTGCTCACTATAGCGCTATGATTAAATATAGTTTTTTTTCGAAATTAAAAACATACCCCAGTAGTTCTGCGAATATGTCCATTTTTTTATAAAATTTTCTATTATGTGTACTTTTTAGCTTATAGTATAGTCTCAACATCAGTTGTCATATTTTGTGTTTCATTAAGAATGTTATAAAATTCATTAAGAGGAGTTACATTCCTTTAGGAACTAAATATTTCCTTCTTCAAATTACATATAAATAAATCTTGCTGCGCTTTCTTCCCTAAAGTGTTTTTCCTTATTCCATTTTACCATACTTACAACTTTCGGTGGGCCACTATCCTAATGCGTTAATAGACGTGATTAATCGTCACAGTGTTCAGTACTTCAGCAATTTACAACATATTACACAAGTGCGAATATTAAATGCTCGTTGGTTTAATGTACATGCAACTTGGAGATGGAATTTCCTAAAATGAGCAAATAGAAGTATTTATTTAAGGTATTTCTTACAATTATTTTCCCGGTTGAAGTGAAATGGCATTTTTGGTCATTAAAAATGTTGGCTTTATATATGACATCCATCTTTTCAATATTTTTTAATTGCGTTGCTTTATTATTATAGTGATATGTATAGACTAAAATGTGTTTCCTTATAAATAAGTCATACATATAGAGTTAACCGTGTGAAAAATATTTGAGAAGCTATTCTTTTACATTAAAACAACCCGAAATTTAACAGTTCTGAAATCTGAAGGTCTGCTGTTTTACTAATTGTATTGTATTATTTATATACGTATATGTATGTACTTGAAAGCACTTTACACGTACTCAATGTTAAAATCCTTTTAAAAACATAAAGTGTTAAAACGTTTTATTTATATATTTCCTTCTACTCACTTTAAAATGTAAGGAAGTGAGTGATCCTGGCAACGCCTTCTAATTTCTTTTCGGATTAAGTTTCGTGTAGTAATCAAGGAAATCTATTTTATCCTTAGTCGTGATTACTCCACAAATTCCCGGTTCCGACTCAGCTAGACCATCTTTATGAGCTCGTTTGAGTTTGCGGTGTGTACAAAATCTCAAAGCGTTATTTTGAATTACATAACTTATAATTTTAAAAGTTTGTTTATAAAACTTTTAAAATTATACGTATATCAATAATTATATTTTTGTGAAGATCACATCATCATCACATCAACAGCCTTTAATAGTCCACTGCTGGACATAGGTCTCTCCTTAGAAAGCAGGTTTTGGCTACCACGCTGGCCAGACGGGTTGGTTTGTTTCAAGTTTTCCTTCTTTTTGCAAATTTCGACTAACGAAGCTAAACTACGCAGGACAACAGTGTCCTGCGTAGTTTAGCTTCGTTAGTCGAAATTTAAACACATTGCACACTTTTTCGTATCCTTTTTCTTACTTTCTAAATTACTGAAGTACAACACTTTCGTTGTTTTTCACTTTCAGTGACTGAGGTTACCGGAGTCCAGCCAGCTTTCCCCTCTTTCTGATTCTGGGGGGAGAGACCGAAAGGGCGGCAAGCACTTGTAACTCTTGAGGTGTAGGTAGTCACTTACCGTCAAGTGACCCGTCAGCTCGTTTACCTCCCTATACAGTAAAAAATTTGCAATTTCTTTTTTCTTTCCTGCAATCTGTGATTTCCTGACGTGGGACGGAAGTGTGTTACAGAATGCCGGGGAAGCGTGCGCTTTTTGATTTGACCAATAAACGCCTCCAATTTTCTTCTAATTAATTTCGTTCGGTTCCAAGACAAAAAAAAACCTGGGATTTCCCGGTAACTTGGTGTATTCGTGGGTCACTGCTGTTGATCCTAGTGTACAGGAGTTACAGTGTGGGAGGGATTGGTCCCATTAAAAAAAAAAAACTGTAAAGCAACTGTTGTAAGGTTTACTCTTTTTGTTTTTATTTTTGTGTAGGTAAAACCTATGTTTCGAGAAATCCTTTGCGATATTGTACATACTGTACCTACGGATTAAATAAAAAAATAAAACTACTAAAATAGACTTTTTTAAGTTGATTAAAAAATGGTGTATAATGTATAGTATTTGATTACGTTCAGTGTAAAAGCTATACATTAATTATTAGTTTTGTAATTTCCTTGAAAGGATTTAATATTTTTTCTAATAAAAATTTAAATATGTTCAACTTTATAAATAATACATAATAAATAACACATTTGTAATAAAATTTCATCATCATCATCATCATCAACCCATGGATCATCACATTCCAAGCCCATGGATCTGAATTACCCAACCTAATTACAATCATTTAGAACAAACAAACCTTCTCGATGAAACTCACTAAGTCAAAGTACTAATTTCGCTTAAGCCTAAAAACTTATTTAAACAAATTGATTGACGACCAATATAAAAAAAACATCGGAACAGAGTTCATGAACAACACTTTTCTTGTTCAAATGCTAAAAACAATGTAAACTTGTCTTCACTCTGTTCATTAAATCGTTAAAACAACAAAGAACTTACATTTTCCAAAAGGTATATCTACGGTGGCCCGGCCTCGATTTTAATTAAGTAGAAAATGTATACCACAGCCTGAAGTAATTTGAGGTATTGACTAAAGTTGTAGGAAGTAAATATTAACTATAAAGAGATTTTACTCACCATTTGGACACGTGAAGAGGTTGCCCTGCGGAACAAACAGAAAATTATTAGACACAACAAAACTTTCGTTAATTGTTTGGACAGTTTAGCATTGATTCCGCTTGCGATTGCTTTGATCTTACGGAGTTTAATTGTTGATCCATTAGATTAGATAGTACAGCTTTGTTTTAGAACTTCACTAGCCTTTACTATATTCCTCGTTTACAAAATAATTCTCTACTTGAAATTTCCTGCATAACTTTTCTGTGCAATAAATTTTGTTCTCATTGAATAATAGCAGGTACTAACAATAGAAGGGCAATTATTTTTTGTATTAAAATAGATGAAACAAATAAAAAAATCACTCGCTTGACTGATAATAATAAGGTTGCTATGTTTTAAATATTAAAAATATTTTATGAAACGCAGTAAATATCAAGTATTTTTCTAAGCGGCTTAACGGCTTTTTCCAAAAGTTGAAATATAAAAAATATTCTTAGTAATAATAAACACGATACTGAGAACTTTCACAAATAAAAACGTTTGATTTCTACTAAACCCAGTCTAGTGTTAACAGAATATATGGATTTTATGACCCGTGGGGTTGTGGGTCAGACAGTCATTCTACAAAGCTGCAAAGGTTATTTTGGTATTAAAAATGTGTGGGTAAAAATAGAAACTTGCCATAAATAATGGAGATTATTCATACATTTTTTTTTCTATTACACTTAAGTATTAGTCGCGAGAGGTGATTAACCTGTGATTTTCTATCGTAGAAAACTACTTGACTTAGCTGGAGTATTACGCTACGTATGCTTTAAATGCACGTTTACTGTACCTGTTATAATATAGTAGGGGCTAAAATACTGCATATTGGAGGCTTCTCGTGTTTATCTAGGAAACTAAGATGCGTCCTCCTTTCTTAATGATAATGCATAGTTTTTATCTGAATAGAATAAAGCTTACATTAACGGTGAATATAACAAGATTTACAATTGCCATTCTTTTTTTTAAATAATGTTACCAAAAAAACATTGTTTTATCTCGTGAAATACAATAATTTACAAAACTACATAAATTTCTTATTCCTTCTGAGTTAGAGTCATTATACTCGTACATCCACAATAGTTTTCTTTATGTTATGGTGATCAAACGAGCACACTGCATAGCTCTCTCGCGGTTACAAAATTTAGGGCCACCAATAACAGATAAATACTAGATTGGTAGATAGAATAATAATAATAAGGATTAAGGTAAGCTGGATTAAAGTCCTCATTCACAAAGCAGTTCTTCTCCATACGGAGGTTTCCGTTTCTGGAGTTAACCATCGCTATCTTGGTCCCTGTACTGGATACCGATGTAACACTATTTTGTACATAAATATATACAAAAATGTAATTTTTAGGTCTATTTAATGAAATAAAGAGAATAATAATAATAGCTTCATTTCGCTCATAAGGTTCAGTAGGTTACAGAGTATCAAGAATGTTGAAACTATTATACGCAGGTAATTAGGCAGAAATCGTTTCATACTGTAAATTGCTAATCAAACTTTGGGTGTTAGATACTATTACTGGCAATTCTCATATTGCAAGCAATTATAAATGATTAGGTGTATTATTGAACCTATTTTATATGCATCAACGTATAATAAAATAAATTTAAAATAGTTTATCCAAAAATTAATGTAACAAAACTGTATTGAGTTTATGGCAATTTAAAACATTTCGAGTCGGGTGTCAAACGGGGAAAGTGACTTTGCGAGGACACTCGCTATCCGTGACCAAGTCAAATAGATATACACGAAAAAATTAGTATGATATAAATAAAAACGATCAATGAATATACCTTTGAGATTGGTTTTTATTGTTACGAGTAGTGAAACGATAGTGAGAGCCAAAAACTAAGTACTTGAAAAGTAATTCATAGAAAGTAGAGGCAATTATTATAACGCTCGGTTCTGTTTCCAAACACACTTAACTATTCTTTGTATGGCAATAGTTTAAATCTAACGCCAATTTACTAACTTTATGTAATACGTGTGTAACTTTTACGGTCGATTGGCAAAACCGGAACGGACTGATTTACGAATAATTTTTAAAATATACCGTTTTATTTTTTGGTTTTGTAAAATATTATGTCATAAATTAAATATTTACACCAATGTTTTAACTAGAAACCTAAGTATAAATATATATCTTGTAAAACGAAATATCTCTTTTCAAATATTTGCTATTATACGTTGCTGCTTTTACCAAATCAAACAGTCGAAAGTGCAAATTCATATCGACCGCAATGTTTGTCTAAGAACCTACAAAATTAAGAAGACACCAAATTGTATGGAGAATCAAAACCATTAATGTTGAAAGTATTTGGGTGGTATATACCTACTTTCTGGGATCGTAACCGATTGCGTGTAAATTCTATGGTGTCGTTAACATCGAATTGGCGGCGAACAGTTACGTAAGTAATTACTAGTTTTGAGACGGTCCCACATTATGAGAATCGAAAAGTTCACGCAAAATAAATGTATTCTTGCTTATCTAGATTTTTAATATCAAACGATCCTATGAGTCTCGTAACGAATTTTTAGTCATAGACAAAATGAGTAGTTATTTATAGTACTTTTTTAAATTATAATATGCGTAAATATTCCCGCCGCAATGACACTTGGAAATTAATAGTAGCGAGCGTGTTCATAACGATGCAATTAAATGTGATACCATCACTGATTACTGACAAATAACTGTTTAAATTGTGCATATAACAGAAGTTAATTCTATTTTCAGTTCTATTTGTGGTTTGAGGAGTAATGATGTTTAATGTTTGAAAAGTTGGCGAGAAACATAGTATTTTTTTATTTTGTAGTGATGATATTGAATATCAGAGAATAGATAGGTATATAATAGAGAATAAACATGACATAGTACGTTAGCAAACAATTTTGCATTCTACGAAACCACTAAAACTAATCGGCTTAATGGACAATTGTGGTTTTTCTTTGAATAACATATTTTGTTTATTTAATATAAAATAAATGTAAATTGAAATAAAAATATGTTTGCCAACACTGCCATTTGTCTATTACTAAATTCTAGGTACAGGTCTCGATTTATAAATTGAATGATTCAACAAACAATACAATGTACTTTTTAACGCATCAGTAAATTACTAATTCGGTAAAAGTTAATAACTTCGCAATAGTATTGCAAAATGACTTTACAATAGCCAATATGTAGGTGATGTTTGTTTACCATACAATGAGATGTTCCGTTTAATATGATTGAGGAGGCTGTGTATACATCCGCTTGTGTCACACAAAGACAATCCGTACCCTTGATCAATTTTTAATCGAAACTTTATTGTTCTCGATTTAGGTCATCGTTCGAAAATTAAATATTAAAATCGATTGAATAATATTTAAATAATGGATATTTAATGAAGGTTTCAAATTAATATTATACTAAAGACAAATTACGATTCGAGATTTGGGCTAATTCGATATTCGTTTGTTAAACGTTCATTCAACCCAACCTTAATTAGATATGTGTACTTACTAATTAGAGATTACTACTAATGACATTTTCAATTTCGTTTGATACTGTGTATGTACCAAAATGTGTATTGCCTAAGCCTTAGTATTCAGATATTTAAATAACAATGAAAAAGGTTAAACTTTCAAATTTTCACCGATGTTTAATAAAAGTTTTACGGATTTTCATATTCCGGGGTTCCAACATTTTAGACGAGAAACTGTGCTATATAACATTTTTCATCGCCACACGAAATGCTCATAACTTTATAACGTCATACTACAAAAGTGCAAAGTTGCGACTTACAAAAGGGTAGATGCACTTGATTTTTATATGTATTATCTTTCTCATACCTACTTTAAAGAAATAACGTAATACTTGCAGTAGCTTTAGCTAACACAGAATTGGAAAAAAAAGTTTTCCTTATATTTTCTATTAAGTTCTGTCCCTGTCGCTACTAGTAACCCCCGACCTCTCCGACTGACCGTCCATTTCTCTGTTAGTTGTATAGTATTTTTCTCAAAGATGGCGGCTCTGATTTTAACGCTATCAAGATGAACTTAAAGCAATTAACTCTCGAGGTAACTATAAGATATTTTATACTAAGAATTCCTATTGTATTGCTAAACCTCAGCGACAAAATCGACACCAAATTTAAAGGAATTTGAATGAAAACAGCAGTGCTATTCTCTAAGGAAACAACCTTGCGTACAGCGCTGCCACAGCGTCGAATTTTAAACTAAGTTCGTTTGGAATTCAACGCTGAGGCAGAATAGCAGGGCCTACTGCATATCCTCGAAACTTTGGTAGAGAGTATTTAAGTATTGGTTATATTTTTATTATCTATTTGTTGTGACTCCTGAGTTGCAAGCGTTCATGGGCACGGCGGTGACCCGTCTGCTCGTTTGCCCCCTATTCCATAAAAACAATTATCACCTAAAATTTTAAAAGTTAGTATGCCTACTACAAATATCGCTAATACTCTCCGCATTAAAATAAAATTTTCTTGTTCAACAGTCAAACTAAATTATGATAAAGTGTAAGTAATGTTTATATGATGTTTGAAAATTGTAATGTTACCTCTGTGCTGGCGTGCGAAGCAGCCAATAGGAACACGACGACACACAGTGCCGCCGGACACCTTATCAACATCGTAAATCTGTGGACAAAACACAATATCTTTTAGCTTTTATATACGGCATACACATACAATGTACTACGGCTTGTATCAAAACCCTTCACGGCACGGAAGCGTAATAAACGAAAACTACTGAGCGATATCTTTTATTACTCGGACAATGTCTTTTAGATGGAGAAAATATATAGTTGTAAGAAATATTATGCTCTAGCTATTTCGGAGACGCAGTACAAATTGTAAATAAGTAACAAAGGATTCTTGGTATGAAATCCTTTTAAAAATTTTAATGACATTTTCTGTTGTTTTTAAACACTGTTTTTTAATGGTTATAACATTCTAGTTAAAGAGATACTTTAGCAGATACCTAAATCTAAATACCTAATAATATAATACTTGGATCGTCATATGCAGGAATTTTCTCATCCACAATTTAGGGTATTGATCCTAACTCAGCAGAATGATCCGTATCGATACTTTTTTATTATAATGATTAGATATTCTTTTTTCTTTACAAAAAATTCAATTGTTTCTTTTGTAATGTGAGTAAATTTAATTAAGGACAATTACTTAGGATTTAGATCAATTTAATGACCAGTTTGTGGATTGAATCGTTTCTACCCTACTCGATTTATTTGACAATTATATATGATTTAGTTATTCTTTTGTTCAAGAAAATTAAATCCAAATTAAAATGTTTAAGAAGTTTTCCAATAAATAAGAAGCACATGATATTAAGTAAATGTACATATTTCTACTTATTGATATGAATTTATGGGTTTAAGTTGGAGAGCTAGATGGCTGTCATTTTAGATGATGCGAGTATAACAGCAGTAGTTTGCCTTTTGTAAAATGAATAAATAGCTAATGTAATCTACACAATCTATAATATATTACTATAATAATGCAGATTGTTTATTTAAACACACTAATCTTTGAAACTATCAGTAAGACCTGAACAATACTCTTTGTATTGCATAGAGGAAGGTTATTAGCTATGTAAATTCAAGCTTCGGCTTTTAGAAGCAAAGCAGTAACTTTAAACGCAGATGAAACGGCTTAGAATGGCTAGTATATAACAACTAGTCTTTACCCGTAAGTTACTAATACGTCTCCTGTAAGTAAATCACCTGTAAGTAATTTTATGATCAGATTGGCATCACAGAGATTGTTTACGCTCATGTTAATATTCACAAGGTAAAATTTTGACAAGAGTCGAAAATGCTTTCATTTATGTATTAATTGAAATTAACGTGTGCATATTTACACAACGTTCTGAAAATTGAATCTTGAAATGAAAAACGTCAAGTCTCAATATTTCAATATCGGTAGGGATCTGACGTCCGTTTATAAAAAAAGCTTTTTAACATGTTATCTCATTACTCAGTGATGCCCTTACCGATATAGACTTTTTTTAGTTTTGAAAGGGTACGCGTAAGGGTACACGTTCTAGTTATTCCCATTTTATAATCAGATCATAATTTGATTGTGGTATCTTGGTGAAATCGAGGGATCGAACGATCTTTGAATGTTACAACATTCAAAGATCGTTCGATCCCTCGGTCAACTTATAGCAGTTTAGGTAATTTTCTTTTAACTAGTGTAACTATTAAATAATTAGTATTTGACATTCGATAAGTTTTAAACGGTTGCTTAGCTGTTTATTTCGTTACAACTTACATGGTAGAATAACATCCCCATCCATTGTAAGAACAGTGTATACCGATAAAAAATATGAGACATTCTGTTTAAATATAAGAATACATGCACACTGTTGTCATTGATAATCATTCCTTTCTTTACTTTCACCCTTTTAAAAATGTAATCAATAATATTTTTTTGCTATAAATTTCTTATATTTTCATAGTTTTATTTTTCTGTATCTCGTTCCTAGTACACGAGCGATTCTGACTTACTAACACTCCCTTTTTTTCTGTGACGAAATCCCCCCTGATATCACCCACCGGTGGCGTGGTTATGTCGGACTGTAGGGTATTAGTGACATGTCACGGTAGGTTTGTAAACTTACCAACACAGAGAAAGCTCTTTTAGTTGGCAAGAGTCCGAGAGATCTCCTCGTCCCCCCAAGAAAAAGGAAATACATATATGTGAGAATCTTCACCCGCATTATCAATAATAACAGTCACGGGGAAAGTAAACCTTACAAACATTAACATAAATCAGTAATTTAAAACGATGTCCAACTCGTTTTGTAGCATTGTAATCGGTAGTACATATACGAGTACATGTTATTGACTATGACAACCAATCCATTCATGTTTCAAGATCAAAATTGTTTTTTTTAGCACTGGTGTCACTTTACACATTACCTTATAAAATTTTAAATTCAGCAAATTTCATTTGTCAAATCAAATTATGCTGTTTAACACATTAATTAAAAGTTAGTATATCATTTCGACAATCGATGTATAGTGTTCAGGTTTTGAGTTGTGTTTGAGTTTGTTAAGTAAAATACATTGTATCATCCAATATGTGCTGTAATTGGTGATTGGTATTAATTAAGTTTGTTCAGCAAATTCACTGTTTAATTTAACTCTGTACCATGTTACAAATATAGACATATACTTCAGATTCGGCCATTTCCTTTACAATCCTTATGCTTATTTGGGATTACCAATTAGCAATTAATGTGTAGTGACGGATTAAGAATACGGAATGTCACTACCCACATTCATCCCGTGAGTGTAGTAAGAGCCGACTAAGGGCGCAAAACAACGCATGACACCAGCACTAAGTACTAGTTTTAACTATACCTATATGGAGGAAGATAGGGTGTGATACAGATAGGGTTGATGAGGGTGTGATACATACATTCATAAAATAGGTATATATATTGAATACACATTTATTAAATAAAAATGAAAAACATTAACCAGCTCATTTTGATTTTAATTTAATATATATCATGTTATTCAATTCTTATTCTGTGTTCTTTTTATTTTGTTTATAATAAAATCTTAGATATTTTTCTCAATTCGTCCGACAAGACAAGTACAAATTGGGTTTATTCTTTAGATTCTGCCTACGTTCCAATAATCGTCAAATTCTAATTCACTTTGATCACGCTAATAGTTGAAAGTTACGAAACAATGATTGACATCGCGAAGGGCGGATGATGGAACGAATCCGTTATATATTTTAAATTGCTTTTGTACAAAGTTATTAAATAAAAATGATTTTGGTTCAACCAACCGGCTTTACAAAATCTGAAATGCAAAATGATATTTAAGTCTCTTGGTATAGAAATTTCGATGTGATATAGAAAATGTATTTTCAATCTTAAGTGTTGAAAATTATAAAAAAAAACAAAGTTAGTCAATTCAAAAGAGTTTCTTGAAAATATTGCGAATATATGTGGCTGCATTGACCCGTTATTGCGCGGAACTGTGAGAATCTGATGTGATTTTTGTAGAATAAAATATGAGAACTCGTACTACGTACAATTAAGTTTCAAGATAACATATCTATGTGTTGTCAAAGACACAATGAGTAGCGTTGGCGTTTCATCACGACGAAGTAACAATTTCTGTCGTGTAGAGTCACTGTAACTTACGTGAATAGACTTTAAGTAGAGCAAGGGCAGGTGGGAAACGGTCTAAGTCGTGATTTGACCAATCAATTTGACATTGAATTTCTTAAAAAATATACCGATCGCCGATTGGCTTTTCTTAACAATTCTATTTTATGTTTTTATTGTTTATAGAAATTAACAAATAAAATCTTTGTCTCCAGTATTTTATTTATTTTTCATGTAAGGTGAACAGATTATTTTTGTATTTATGTTATGAATTCAACTTGAATTTACCCTTTAATTTTTATCATTAACTTTTACAGTATTTTTTATGGTTAAGGAGGAAGACTAGTAGGTGGGTGACCTGATGATAACTGTCTACCTACGTTCATGGACAACTGCAACTCAGGAGACACAAATGTGTTGTGACCCTTGGAGTGGCCTCCTCCAGAGAGAGGATTGGGATCTTCCGGTAACTTCACTCATTCGATGAATAGCAAAGAAAGAATTTCTCAACACCGTTTTTCTGTAAGTCCATGATATCACTCAGGATCAGCTGGCCCAAATCACCATCCTATTCATTCTATGGGTGTCGTAAGAGCCGACTAAGGGAGTAAACTACGCAAGACAACAGCACTGCAAAGAGAAGGAAAACTAGAAACAAACCCTGTACCAACCCATCTGGCTTTTCTAAGGAGAGGCCACCGATGAACACCATCGGTGCCCGGTCCAATAACTTAACCCCTTCGAAGCTTAAATTCACTTTTTGAGGTATATGTATCTGCCATATGTCTATTAACAAGCTATTAAAACGTTACTACACCGTCTTGTTGCAAAACACCGGTTGCTAAGCCTAAGTAATGTTTTATGACTATTTACCGGTAACTCAAAATTTGTATTGATCTAAAAATATTACCTTGGTCGTTGGGTTTCCGGTTCATAATGAAAAGTTGTCAAGATGACCTCGGCAATATTTAGTAAACGTTACCCAATCCATATGTTTGTATGTGAACATTTAGATGTAATTAAAATGTTTTTAATCTATCAGAACTTTTTAAAAGAATTTAATTTTGTTTGTTACAAGTTAAAAGAAATTTTGCATTTTACCACATCTTTTGTTTTCTTCCTTAGAACCCAACTCCAAATCATTTAACGTAGTATTTTGTAGAATTAATAAAGTTGCTTATGTATGACGTGAGATCGATACAGTTGTAAGTCAAAATCAAACAACGTATAGTACAGTAAAATCCATACATACTTAATATACATAACTATTGTAAGTATGAAAAAAACTTGAAAATTCCTTTTATTAAATATTAGTTCTTATTAATTAGGACCTGTGTCACTACCCCTATTCATCGCGTGGGTTTGTAAGAACTAAGGGAGTAAACTGCGGGACAACAGCACTGCAAAGAGAAGAAAAACTTGAAACTATACCAACCCATCTGCCCAAAACCTCTTTTTTAAAGAGAGGTCTATGTCTAG